GACTATTTTAGTAGGCTAAAATTTTTGTGTTTGGAAAAATGATTGGATTTTTTTATGCACTGCTGGAAATTCAGGTTTTAGGGGCGTTTTAAAAACGCCGCAATAGGTCTTAAAAACGCCATTAAATCTTTTTGTGACGTTTTACACCAAACGCCGAAGATGCGGCCGTCGCTATAACTCTGTGACGCTTTAGAAACGTCGCTATATGACAATAGGCGGCGTTTTTAAAAACGCCGCTAAAAATTCTACTAATGGTAACATGATGTCAGCATGTTATTTAGCGACGTTTTTAAAACGCCGTTGTATCTCTAATGCTATTTAACGACTTTTTTAAAAACGCCGTGATAGCCTTTTTTTTTTTTCTTTTTTAATTGTGTTAATTTTAGGTTATTGAACCCAAAAAGAAGTTGCACTATCTATGCCACTTTTACAATAAGAAAGAAATATAACCGGTTTCAAATTCTTGATCAATAACTTACAATATATACATTAAAACTATATAATGACAAAAGTAATCGTACTGTTTCCATTTGTATAACCAAAAATAAATACATAAATTTACTATATTTTCAATATTAACTTTAGAAGAAACAAGATTCACCAACCGTGCAGTCGCTTCCTACTCTTGTTCTCCGAGTCACCTTAACTTAAACAAGTCAGTATCTGCATTTTTATTCAACTTGTTCATGACCATTTATATTCAACTTGTTCATGACTTCACCATTAGACTGTCATTCACACGAGATTTTTCACAGGCTATCCATTCCTAGAAAATCAAAAGATATGAACAAGATTGTATATCCAAAAGAAGAAAAAATTGTATATCCAAACGAAGAAAAATACTTACTGAAGGTTCACAAAAATATCATCTTCAATTGGATCTCCAACACCATGGTCAAATGAAGGAGCGTAAACTGATCCCTAAAAGAGAAATAACCATCAGAACTCAATATGAGGAAAGAAAGCATACATGCTATTCTTGCCTATAAGCAATAAATTCCAAAGTACTATAGAAGAGAGCCGTAAAAGAATTTCCACAAGTCTATGAACTAAATCTACAATTTCAACATAAATAGCTACTCACCTGATTCTTCAAAGTCTTGAGACATTTTAGCAGTAGTTCAGGATCAAATGTCCATGGAGCTGGTTAACCAATGGAACAAGCAACGATTTCAAACACTAACAAGATCTAAAAAAAAAAATTACCAGACGAAGGAAGCTCACCTCCCCTTCTCGTAAGATCATAACTTGTTAACGTAAAAAGAGGAAGTTGACAGAAGACAAAACCCGTTATGAAACCACATGAAAAATTGCATGTTAACTAGCCTGGAATGTGCTGTGGTCAGAGAGTGCCTGACTGCAAACAAATACCAACACATGCAATAAAAGCAAAAAATAGGAATGCATCTAAATACCAAACCCATGTAATTAATGATTTAACAGAGCATCACTTGTAGTAAGACATTTGGAAACCCATGTAACTTAAAGAATGTATAGTATCAAAGTAGAACTTCTACACCCAACCTTTAACTACTACACACAAGTCAGGAATTGACCATTCCTTGACGGAGACCAGAAAGCCATTGTAAATATGTTTGGTGACTTACAACTATACAGGACTGCTGCTTCAACTCCCTTACTGTTATTAAAACAAGACATAAAATAGTAGAAGCTCGCTGCTACTTATAAGTTCAAAGGAACAACACAGAAATGATACTATGTGGAATGAAAATAGTATCACAATCAATACAAAAACATCAAAAGACTACACCTCATACCACATTTCAATCATTCACAAAAATCTCCATTAGAAATAAGAATATAAGGAAATAGCATGAAATTAAAATGAAACTCAGGAATTTTAAAGGAAACTCTTCAGAAAGATTTGAGACATTTCTAAGATCTCTAACACAGCATGAAGAAAATTCTCAGAAACTCTTGAAAAATTTATTGTTAACTCACCAGAAACTCTTGAAAAATTCTTATTTCCAATCATAATATATAATTGTTTTAATAATTTTCTACAAATCTAAGATTCAAACACCGCCCCAAAAGGATATTTTAACAAATTGAAATAGAATAGACAGACAGCTTACTTACAAAATAATTAACAGATATAAAACAGCCAGTAAGTGTTTATTGAAAAGTTGATGACCAGCAGTGATGATGAGAAACATTGGAAAAAGTAAGAGATCAGATGAATGTGAAAGGGAAACGATCTAGGAGGTTTTATATCACCATGCATGCAAGGCACACAAATCAAGCACATCAAAAGCAATTATGAAACCAATAAAAAAAGGCGGGGAAAAATTATCCGATCATAGAACAGTGAACCTGCACATCACCTGCATAGTGGAAAATGGTGTAAGCTACTTTGTTGGATGTGTGGGTCTTTTTTTAAATGGAACTCTTTATTAAAAGAGCAACCCAAAACATCAAAATTTTAAGAAAACAAGAATACATACCAAAAAATATTAGTTGGATCAATATCCATATCCTCGCCGTTGCTGGTTTCCATAGTACTGATCTTCATTGCTTTCGTTGTTATTGTTGGAACCATAAGTATTATCCTTATTAGCTTTTTCTGACTGTTCCTTTTCGCTGTTCCACTGCTCAATTTTGGCATGTCTCTCCTCACTTCCTTCTCTTACTGGACTCTGGTTCCTTCTTCCCCTCGGGCTCCTGCTTCGTCCTCTTCTGTGGCCAGGGCTTGTAGTCCTGTTCCTCTTGCTACGACTCTCATGGTAGTAATCCTCGTCATCATACCTTCTACTGTGCCCACAACCTCCATCAGGGCGCTCATCATAGCTGCGATGCCTATAAGGACTTCAACTTCTACTCCAACTACGGCTATGCCTTGAGCGATACCTCCCAAACAATTGGCGTCTCAACTCTCTATCGTTCATAACAGTAAGATGAATCGTTTTAGAAACAAAATCAGGCTCTGCTCAACTGTAATACCTTGCAAAATATAGATGAGACAAAAACAAACACATCAAGGATGCTTACCTGCCAATCCTTTTCAGATGCATAAAGTTGCAATACCCACCACGATTGCAGGCATTCTCTTCATACTGCCTACATGTGGCTTCACGAAAATCAGCCTTAGGCACATAAAGTAAGAACAATAATTTTCTATCCTTTTATGGACGACAAAGAACAATAACCAAAAGCTAGAATTTTAAATCTTGTCCCATGTTTCCAATCCATTATACAATAAAATTGCACTTACCCTCCCATCATAGGATAATGATGCAAAAATCCATGGCTCTCGGGAACTCCAAGCAAGACCAGCAATTTTGGTAAAACTAGTCAGGCTAAATTCAGACATTAACCTAGGAGTACACAACTGTGGAGTACCAAATATGATTAGTGAAAACTGTTATTCCTAAACACCAAAAACCCAATACCCAACCTTAAGTACTCAGTAATTGTAATAACATGATACCTGATATATATATCCAATGCAACAAGTGGAGTATGAATCCAGCCAACAACCTTAAAAAACAATTTAGTTTTCTTTATCCATGCTATCTCTAAGTTCTAGTATTAAAAAATTAAAAATTTTAAAAATAAATTAAAAAAATAGGAGGAATAAACATGATGGTACTAGGATTCTAGGGCATTTAACATTAAATAAACCAATGCTAACTCATTTGTTGCTTAGAGTCAACCTGTGAAATACAAGCAAAAAACACAATTAAACACCTGTTTTAACAAGATTTTAGCTTCCAAAAAGTAAATTTTATTTCTTCTCTCCCACACACCTGGAGAGGGGTTTTGGGGAAGGAAGAAAGATAAGGAAAGAAAAGGACAGTAGAATAATTACCTAGATAGATAGAATAGACACTAGAATAATTGATTAGTGTGTGTACACCTAGCATTCATATTGCTTTTCTATTTTGTGCACGAGACTTCAAGCAGTTATATTGTCCAGCCCCTGAAACCACCCAAACATAAAGTTTAATAAAAATAAATTTATCATATAATATTGATTAGTGTGTGTTTATCAAGTGTATGCAAATTTAAAATATGGTCTTACAAAGTCTATGTTAACTGCGCATGCTTGTAAAAAATTATATCTTAATACTTAGATTATCAGCATTGAAAAAACTATTGTACGGGGAACAATTTCATATTTCACTACTTGATAAAAGAACTGGCCAACCTCATTACACATTGTTTTGATTGTGGGTTAAAAGGAACAGAAAAGAAACGTTGTCCAACTGAAAATAAATAACATCCAGATCCCAATTGCCCCCCCCCCCCCAAAAAAAAAAAAAACAAAATAGCAGCAGCAGCAGAAAATATCTAGCACTTCCAGTACATCAACTCACCACAATTCTTAATCCAAATTAGTAATTTCCAGCTCACCTTGAGCACTTCCAGGATGTGAAGGTCCGCAGAATCTATCTATAAAATGTCATTAGCAAATGTAGTCCATCAATTATATTGCACAAAGGATCCATTAGATGAGATGTAAAGTGAAAAATTATCATGAAAGAAAGATGTGGATTAAATAAATAATAATTTCCACCAAAATTAAAGTGACATATTATTGGAATAAATCAAAAGATATACTTAGTGTCCCACCAAAATAACAACTCACATTATATCACTGTAGTGGATGAAAAAGAAAACAACAAGTGTCCCGCAAAAATAATGACTTATGTTACTACAACGATATGAATTACATACAGCCACACAACGATATGAATTACACACAGCCACACAATCATAATGATGCTTGTCATTATAATAACTAGAAAACCATGCATGATCTACTCTTATGTTGTAGTTATGCACAGTTAGGTTTGTGTCATGCTCCACTACATAAATGATTGGGCATCAAATACAATCACTAATCAAAAGCATCAATTTTTACTAACGAAGAAAAAATAGAGGTGGAGAGGACTTCTACTGATAGATGTCAAGTTCAACTACATTTATGATTGCCCAACTAACATCGATTCGAGATCTAATGTCTCTAAAATTTTGCCATCTAGATGGCAAAATTTTAGAGACATTAGATCTCGAATCGATGTTAGTTGGGCAATCATAAATGTAGTTGAACTTGACATCTATCAGTAGAAGTCCTCTCCACCTCTATTTTTTCTTCGTTAGTAAAAATTGATGCTTTTGATTAGTGATTGTATTTGATGCCCAATCATTTATGTAGTGGAGCATGACACAAACCTAACTGTGCATAACTACAACATAAGAGTAGATCATGCATGGTTTTCTAGTTATTATAATGACAAGCATATCGTTGTGTGGCTGTATGTAATTCATATCGTTGTAGTAACATAAGTCATTATTTTTGCGGGACACTTGTTGTTTTCTTTTTCATCCACTACAGTGATATAATGTGAGTTGTTATTTTGGTGGGACACTAAGTATATCTTTTGATTTATTCCAATAATATGTCACTTTAATTTTGGTGGAAATTATTATTTATTTAATCCACATCTTTCTTTCATGATAATTTTTCACTTTACATCTCATCTAATGGATCCTTTGTGCAATATAATTGATGGACTACATTTGCTAATGACATTTTATAGATAGATTCTGTGGACCTTCACATACTAAATCCAAAGTACCACTGGCCATTTGAGTATCTTTTGTTCTAGGATATTTTGAAGTGAGAAAGCAGCTGCATCTGGAGTATAAGGTGATCAGTTGATTCCTTTTTCCAGTTTTTTGTTTTTGTTTTTGTGTTTTTTTAATCTTCCTTAGGTATGTATAATCACTAGATGATTTGCTATAATCACTAGTCGGTTTTGTTTGGTCCTGCAGGCTGATTTTGTGTGACTAGCTACCCAACATGGGTCTGACTGGTGTTTGTGTTGGATCCAGCAGGTTGATTGACCTGGCTACCTTACTAATGTGGATCGTCACTGCAGTATTTTCGAACTCCTAGTGATATGTGAAATACCTTATAGCATATTGTTGTTGGAATTGAGTAAATTGAATCATATTACAAAGATGATAGACAAGATGAACATTGACAAACTCTCTGTATGTAAAGATTTTGACCCAATTATTGCTGAAAATCTTATAATTACTTGTACCCTTGTGTATGCTATGAAGCTGCTTTATTCCTATTCTTTTCTTCATAATCCCCACCTTATAGTGTCTCCCGCCTTTCAATCTGTGGAGGATTTTCGCAATGCAGCAATCAGCTGAATGCAAGCTGACATGACATCTCTGTTTGGAACTATAACTTACCAGTCAAATCAATCTTCGAGTATCTTCTTGGGCAAGGTTATTTTTGTTTCTTTCCTTTACATTAGGTGTGGATTTCATCCTAACGATTAACTTGGTTTTGGAATAAAGTGGCCCCTTTTTGATAAGTAAAACTTTACTTTGATAGTTGATCTGATCCTTCTTAACATTATGTGCAGCCTTTTTCCGCAAAGTTTCAAGGAGGAAGTACATAGAGCCAACTCAAAGATTATAGGTTATGTTTCTTCCTTCAGTGCACACAAATAGTCACAGAAGCCGGATTCTGTGTTTCCCTCCTAAGGTATGCATTGAGCTTTCATTCAGCCTCTGATGCCATTTTCCGAAGCTCAAATAGTGTAGAATGAAAAGCAAGTGAGCTAGAGGTCTGTACTGTCAATTTTTTAGTTTCTTACTAACTCTGGTTGCAAATTATCTTCTCAAAGTTGAGGTAATGTGCAAAAGAGACTGATAGATGTTAGTGACAACGTTGGAAACACATACAATATTAGAGGTATAAAAAATTAACCAAACTACTTAAGTTCAATTTGTGTTCATCTTGTTCGAGATAGGTTTGAACATGTTCTAAAACTCGTTAATTTTCTTGTTTGGGTAAGCTAGCTTCATTTGGTACTGTTAATTCTGTTGAATTGCATGCATTTAAATTCATGAATGTAATGAAACATTAGTGAATTTTTATCAGAAATGTTGGAAAAGGCAATGGCAACTCCTCCAACTGTTTCACCAATATGGTGTTCCCCATTACTTGAGGTATGTCTATGTATGAACAAACACAGACCTCTACATATCATGTTAATCAACTTGAGCTGATTTGAGTTGTTTGCTTCAATGGGGTCCATTGATTGGTTGTTATGATGACCTGTCTGTAATACATATTGTTTAATGGTTATTAGATTTGTGATTTTATGATTGTGTTTATTTTATTTTTGGTTACAATTGTTCTGTATACAGTTTGAAATTACTGCTAATCTTCTACTCGTTGCTATTGGGTTTTAGCTTTTTCTTGTTAGCTTCTAAAAATCTTATTAGTCGAACAACCTGGATTAGATGTTTAATTCTTCCACGTCATGGAAGACTTGGTTGCTAGGAGAAATAAATCATGTTTCTTAATTG